GAGGACAGGAGTTAGAACTCTCCCGCTTCTAGTATCACCCAGAACGTTACCTACTTGATCCACCCCCAACTCCTGCCCCCAGTATTGTTACCCTTATTTCCAGGCTTCTGGGCCAGCTTGGCTGCTGACTTATCTTGTAACCATCAATTACAAGCTGAGCCATCTGAACAAGCACCAATGTACCGTAGCTGGGATTTCCCAGTGCCTTACCTGGAGGGCCTTGCTACTCATAACACAGCGGAAGAGGGAAATGCTGGCAGGCTGTTAATTACAGGTGCTGCTTGGCTGGCGCAGCAGTGTCCCATTGCTCTCCTGATAGAGCTGCATGGTGGGTGACAGACTCCATGATAAACTGATAGCCCGTTTAGCATCCATTTCCCCTTCTCTGGTGGGAAACAGCTGCACTAATGGGAAGGGACAAGCGCAAATGAAATAACAGTGGTTGGCAGAGCTGGTGCCCCTCTTGTGAAACAGACATGGGGGTGCTAAGAGAGCATCAAGTAACTAGAAGGATGTGGGAGAGTTTTGGATGCAGGAGTGTCTCATTTGCCATGTGATTTTCCTGAGATTTGGGAAGCAAAGCAGAAGTGGCCTGAATGTAAAATACTTAAGATAGAAGATAACACCTTCATTAACCCCTGCAGTACATACTGCACATAGACTTGCCCAGCTTGTGGTGGACAGAGTCTCCCCACAGCTTTTGAGAACCAAAGCCTCACAGATGAAAATGTTGTTAAACCAACGTTCAGTTGAAATCGTGCTTTTCTACATGAGGTAAACTTTAAACACAGAATACAGTGGTGCCTCGCATAGCGAGGTTAATCCGTTCCGGATTAACCTTCGCTATGCTGAAGCATCGCTGAACGGGGCAGCGATTTCCATTGGAACGCATTAAACATCGTTTAATGCGTTCCAAATAGGCCAAATACTCACCGTTCAGCGAAGCTTCAGGATGGCCGGCAGCCATTTTCGCGCCCTCGCCTCGCTTAACGAGGGCACGAAAACGCTGCGCGCGGCCATTTTAGGCCATTTCCCGGCTTCCGGCGGCCATTTTGGCCGCCGAACAGCTGATCGGCGGGGGTCGTTTTGCGATCGGTAAGCGAAATGCTTACCGGTCTTCGCAAAGCGAATTTTGCCCCATTTAAAAAACGTTGAGCGATCGCATTAGCGATTCGAAAAAATGGATCGCTATGCGATTTCATCGTTATATGGTGCGCTCGTTAAGCGAGGCACCACTGTAATGCTCATCAGAGTCTTTTTCCTGTCTTAGTCTTTCCCCAAGGTCTGCTATCAGGAGTCCCTTCCAAGCTATTCACTAAGAGCCCTAGGGTTTCCAACTCTTTCTCCTTAGCCCTTGACTAACAGGTCCCTCAGACTCAGAAAATTTCTTTCTTTTTTCCCCCTTTGGCTCACTGGAGTTTATTCACTTCACATCCTGCTGCACCACCACTTTGTCGCATTCCCCCAGTGTCGCCTGTTTGTTTTCCCTCAACCAAAGGTCCACCTTCGGACACAATGTACTATTTTGTCTCTTTACCCGCTGCCACCAGTGGATCTGTATCCACCCTGTACCAAATATATTTCTTAGACCCGGGCTGCCAAATATAACAGGTTTATTGTGTGCTTGCCACATGAATGGATACATGACGTACAATTCGCACTTTGATAATTAACTGCAGTTTTCCATAGTGACTGACACAATTTCACTTGGTCTAGAGTAAAAACCCAGCACGAATCTATCATACAGGGCTTAGAAAAGCTTTCTGGACTACGACTTCCAGAATCGCACACATATGCTAGTAGGAGGATTCTGTGGGTTGTCATCCAGAAATTTGCCTTTTACCACCTATGGCCTGTCAGTGTTTTAAAATATGATTTAGTGATTTGATTCCATATGTCAAAAATCTGAGGCTCAATATGCCTTGTATGAGTCTTGCTTACACATATAACTAGAATGTCATAATGCCAGATAACTCCTTGACTTGCTTATAGTATAGTATAGTATAGTATAGTATAGTATAGTATAGTATAGTATAGTATAGTATAGTATAGTATAGTATAGTATAGTATAGTATAGTATAGTATAGTATAGTATAGTATAGTATAGTATAGTATAGTATAGTATAGTATAGTATAGTATAGTATAGTATAGTATAGTATAGTATAGTATAGTATAGTATAGTATAGTATAGTATAGTATAGTATAGTATAGTATAGTATAGTATAGTATAGTATAGTATAGTATAGTATAGTATAGTATAGTATAGTATAGTATAGTATAGTATAGTATAGTATAGTATAGTATAGTATAGTATAGTATAGTATAGTATAGTATAGTATAGTATAGTATAGTATAGTATAGTATAGTATAGTATAGTATAGTATAGTATAGTATAGTATAGTATAGTATAGTATAGTATAGTATAGTATAGTATAGTATAGTATAGTATAGTATAGTATAGTATAGTATAGTATAGTATAGTATAGTATAGTATAGTATAGTATAGTATAGTATAGTATAGTATAGTATAGTATAGTATAGTATAGTATAGTATAGTATAGTATAGTATAGTATAGTATAGTATAGTATAGTATAGTATAGTATAGTATAGTATAGTATAGTATAGTATAGTATAGTATAGTATAGTATAGTATAGTATAGTATAGTATAGTATAGTATAGTATAGTATAGTATAGTATAGTATAGTATAGTATAGTATAGTATAGTATAGTATAGTATAGTATAGTATAGTATAGTATAGTATAGTATAGTATAGTATAGTATAGTATTTCTGTTCAGAACTGTCTTGGCATAAATAGATACTTTCAGTCCTCAGACAGTTTGCAAGGTGGACTTAATCCTGTTTGAGCACTAATGCTCACAGGAAACTGAACAGGTGCAGGTATCAGGTCAGGCTGGGGAGAGGATTAGCTGCACCCAGAGGACATCCCCGCAGGTGTTCTGCTGTCTCACTCCATATAATCGGACAAAGGGCTAAACCGGTTACTGCTAGTAAGGACATTAATATTTCTCCAGAGAGACACAGAAAATCATCTGCAATGTCACAAACCTCTTTCTTGTGGTATAATTACTGGGTTGGGGAGTGTGAGATGATCCCTGCTCACAGGAGTACATTAAAATGTCTGTTGCTGGGCCTTTTTTGGGCTAAATTTTGAAACATACATACATACACACAGTAGTGAGAGAATGGTTACAAACACAGGCAGTTCATGAACTGCTGCAGGAGGGCACCTCCGCCACAGGGTCACGAGCTTCTTACAATCCCAACAGAGGATATTATTAAGGCAAAGTTTTGGATGTAAGCACTCTGGTGACCTTTAAACTGCCATTCAAAACCTACATTCCATCAAGTTTATGTCTTCTGTGAGGCTCATTATTCTGTGTGAACCTTTTCCATGTGCCACCATTGTGAACACTTCATTGTGTGGAGACTTGGGGGAGGGCTTTCTTGGGACAGAAAGCCCTCCCTTTGGAGGCTCAATTGCTGCCAACGTTGGCATCATTTGAGTGCCAAGTCAAAACATACATATCTATTTGAGCTTTTGGTGGTTCAGTTTGGTGGCACAACAATTTTAATGTCTTAATTCGGTGTTTTAAACTAATTAATTTGGATTTTTTTAAAAAACAAGATCTTATATTTTTAAGCTGATCCCAGCAGAGAGAGGACCGTGCTGGTATTAAAGTCAAGATAACGTCAGAAAAAAAGGTAGCAATCTCAATACAGTATAGCACTAAAGTCATGGTTGAATAAAAGGGGTTTGTAGCTAGAAATTTAGGAGTTGAGCACTGGAAGGCTTCTGCCTTGAATAGGTTAATCTCTCAGATTTGCTTTCTCCCACATTCATAATTTTTTAAAACCTCTTCCTTGAAACTGATGAGGAGATTTGCATATTTTGAGAGGTTCTTACCTAAAAATGAAGTCTCCTTATCCCCAGTCATGAAATACTGAATACTGTATTTTCTTAACCGTCAACAATAGCTTTAATAGGTACAGTTTCAACTGACAACAGCTTTCCTCAACTTGGAGAGGAAACTTGGTAGGAAAAGTGTTTCCAGTCAAATTTTGGTGTGTTATGCACCCAGAACACCAAGCACAAGAGAAGTCCATGTTTCCCCGGTGCAGTGAATCACAGAACACTCCTATTCCCTTTTACTCTCTTTATCCTGTGCCTCCCCATTCTTCCCACCTTGCTCAAATATAAACCAGATTACACATATCTGCTTTAGAAGCAAACGCCCTTCAACAAATGTCCTTCACAAATATATAATCCAAAACAGTTGCATTACAATTGCTGTTTTAAAAGGAGGTGGGGAGCACTTTCATGAAAGGTCACTTTATTATTTTATTGAATGCCTCAGTTGGTTGGTTACCCTTTTCAAAGTTTCTGAGTTTGTTTGCATCTCAGTTCTACACAGAAACTGGTAAAATAAATCTTATTTATTTCTGTTATCTCCTTGGAATCGTGGTGCCAGTTCTCTGGTAGTACTCAGCTAGAGTTCAGATACATAAAGTGAACTTCAGGTTGGATTTCATTTGTATAAGGACTCAGCAGTGGCACACCTTTCACACTGACATGGCTGGAGACTAGAATATATGTAGAGTAGATGAAAAGTACCTGTGAGCAGACCTAAGGTATATTTCCCTCACTACAGAGAGTTCATAGTTATGAATGCTCGAATTATGAGGAGAAATATGCAGTGGTACCTAATGATATCTACATATCTCATAACTTGACCAATTTTAGCCTAATCATAGAATTCTATTGTATTACCCTGTTTCCCCTAAAATAAGACCTTACCTGAAAATAAGCCCTAGTATGATTTTTCAGGATGCTCGTAATATAAGTCCTACTCCAAAAATAAGCCCTAGTTAAGTGAAACCCTGCCCTCCACCATTGTGCAGCAACCAAAAGATGACATGACTGCATTTGAATAAATGTAGATGGTTGTACGTAACAAAAATAAAACATCCCCTGAAAAAATAAGCCCTAATGCATTTTTGGAGCAAAAATTAATATAAGACCCTGTCTTATTTTCGGGGAAACAGGGTATGCACCAACAAGTTGATGCAAGTGAAGGCAATTCTCCCAGCGTCTGTAGGTATAATGTTCTTATAAGTGGTCTACCACACATCCTTCTGCTGTTACCATGCAACCTGCCCAAGGCCACATAGGTGGCAAAGCATGTAATCCACTCAGGCACACCTGTTCTGGGTGATCTCAGCTGGATCTGTTTTTAGGGAGTACCATGGGGATTTGAAATCCTCACTCCACCTCCATAACCAGGCTCTCTAAACCAATCATAATAATAATCACCATATGCCATCAAGTCAGTTCTGATTTATGGCAACTGTTTTCAGGGTTTTCCAGGTAGAGAGTACTCAGAAGTGGTGCACCATTACCTTTCTGTGGGAACATCCTAGCAGTGTGCAGTTTGCCCAAGGTCACACGGACTGGCTCTTTTCTGTGGAGGCACTTTGAGGAATCCAACTCCCAAAATCTGGCTCTGCAGCCAGATACCTAACTCACTGAACTTTCCAACCAGCTTTCAAAAACCCTCATACTCATCTTAACATAGTAGCTAAGAGGTCTGGAGGGGCAGTCTACCATTGAGAAGAGTTAGGTTCCTCTCTCAGGAAGCAGATCCTGTACATCACAAAAGGGAAGCAAATGTTTATGTACGTTCTTCTTGACTGCATTTTTTTTTACTGCAAAGAATGAGGAGATATTCTTATGGGATTTTCCACCTCATATTCCAAAATAATTATGCCTTTTCATTTGGGTAGATAAGAGGTGCTATTCTGCCTCAGATAACAACATTTCTTGGGAGGTCCCAGCCCTGTCACAAAAAGTAGACAAGATTCCCCTGGTCCCAGTAATTCAAGAACTGTCACACATAGGGCAGGGTTTCAAATTTACAGGCGTTGAGCATCTCTGTTCTTCAAACTAAAGCACCAATGCCAAGGCAGCATGCACGACCTACTGTATTATCATCTTTGGTTGCATTTTCAAGACAGACCAGTGACAGTGTCTTCAAGTTTGTCCTCTCAGAGGCCTGTCTTTCCTTGAGCCCCTGGTCAGAACCAGGTTTCCAGATAAAAGGATGATTTTGTCTTTGGCTCCGGCCTGTCTTCTGTTCCGCGAATAGGGTGCTGTGTCACGTGGAAGGTCTTCCCACGGGTGTCTGGTTTCTTCCTTGTTTTGCCTTTTGTCTGGCCTTGCACCTCAGAGGCTTTCTCCAGCTTTTTATGTTTTTCGGGGGATAGAGGGGGCGGCTCAACCTTGATCTCGGGGATTTGGAAAGTATGTGGGTGGCTGCTGCAATCCCCCACCTCATTCTTTGCATTTGACAGCTGCTGTGCATCAAAGACGGCCTTTGCGCCAGACAGTCGATGCTCTGGTTTGTATTGGAATTCAGGCTGAGTTTTGCGCAACTTTGCTAGCTGGATTTTATATTCACGTTCCAAATCACGGTCTGAGATGGGCACATCATGGACCTGCCAGAAACAGAGAAACAGAGTTTTAAGCTTTCGAGGTCTCGACCCGGTACCTCTAGGAAGCTAGGAATTTGGAACTGGTGCAAGAGAAAGGGAACTTCCAATAGAGCAGTCTGGGAAGACTGGGTGCTAATGCCTCTCAGCAGATTGGACAATGAGTGGGCAGAGAAAAACAGAGGATATTAGAGACGGCAGATGGAAGATTTTATTTGCAGCAGAGGTGGGCAGGAGATCAGTGGGAGTGTAGTGACAATAAAAAGTTGCCCACCTGCTTAAGCTATATTGCTGAAATGAAGAACATTTGTAGGAAACAAAAGATGATTTGCACGTGAGACAAGTTGTGCCTTCCCTGTTCAGGGCTATAGCCATCTTTTCATAAAAACATAAGAAGAGCCCTGCTGGATCAGGCCAAGGGCCCATCTAGTCCAGCTTCCTGTATCTCACAGGGGCCCCAGTAGATGCCTTGAGGAGCACACAGGACAGATAGATCTGTCACCTGATACCCCTCCCCTGCACCTGGCATTTGGAGGTATCTTCCTTTTAAGCTGCATATTATACAGCCCCATCATGGCTTGCAACCTGTGATGGACTTTTCCTCCAGAAATCTGCCCAGTCAGATTTACGCCAGATGCCATCACCACATCCTGTGGCAGGGAGTTCCACAGACTAACAACACGCTGAGTAAAGGAATATTTCCTTTTGTCTGTTCTCACTCTCCCAACACTCAGTTGGAGTGGATGTCCCCTGGTTCTGGTATTGTGTGAGAGGGAAAAGAGCTTCCTTCTATCCACTTTATCCATCCCCTGCATAATTTTATATATCTCAGTCATGTCCCCCCTCAGGCACCTTTTCTCTAGACTAAAGAGCCCCGAACACTGTAGCCATTCCTCATAAGGGAGGCGCCCCAGCCCAGTCATCATTTTAGTCACTCTCTTCGGCACTTTTTCCAGTTTCACTTTTTTGCAGCGACCAAAACTGTATGCAACACTCCAGGTACTTTACCAGAGTTTTATACAATGGCATTATAAGGTTGGCTGTTTTTTTTTTCAATTCCATTTTTAATTATTCCAACCATGGAATTAGTCTTCTTCACTGTTGCCGCACACTGGGTTGACACTTTCATCGATCTGTCCACCAGCACACCAGGATCTCTTTCCTGATCCATCATGGATGGCTCAGAATCCGAACCTATTAGCTGATAATGTTTTGATTTTTTGCTCCAATGTGCATTACTTTACATTTTCTCATATTGAAACACATTTGTCATTTTGCCGCCCATTCTCCCAGTTTGGACAATCCTCACTGCTTATCCCTGTCTTCAGGTCATTTATGAACAGGTTGAAAAGCACCGGTCCCAGGACAGATCCCTGGTACACACTGCTTTTCACCTCTCTCCATTGCAAAAACTGCCCATTGGCACCTACCATTTGTTTCCTGGTTCTCAATCAATTTTCAGTCCATCAGAGGACCTGCCCTCTTACCCCCTGACTAGGGAGTTTTCTCAGCAGCCTTTGGTGAGGGACCACATCAAACGCTTTCTGAAAATCCCAATAGACAACATCCACTGCTTCACCCACATCCACATGCCTGTTGACCTTTTCAAAGATTTCTAAAAGGTTTGTGAGGCAAGACTTACCCTTACAGAAGCCATGCTGATTTTCCCTCAGCAAGGCTTGTTCTTCAAAATGGAAGGGCAGCTGAGGGGCCTAATGCTGAGGGAGGCCCTAAAGGAAAGAACAAGAAACCAGGCCTTCTCGGCAGTGGCCCCTCGGCTCTAGAACAGTCTCCCATCAGAGATCTGCCTGCCATCCTCGCTAGGTGTTTTTAAGAGCCAACTTAAGACCTGGATCTTTAGGCAGGCCTTCCCTCCTGTCAATATTTGATCTTTACTTTTCTACAGTGGTACCTCGCTAAACGACGACCCCGCTAAACGAATCTGCATAACAGTGACTTTTTGCGATCGCTATAGCGATTTGCAAAACAGTCATTCCAATGGGGTTTTTCCGCTGGATGTCGATTAGGTCCGTGCTTTGCGAACCGTTTGTTCGTAAGATGATGATTTTTTTCAGCTTCGCAAAACGACTGCCCTGTGTTTTCTGGACCCATGCCTCGCAGGGCAGCCATTTTTACGGCTGATCGGCGCTCGCAAAATGGCTTCCCTATGGGCGATCTTTGCTGGATGACGAGGTATTTTCCCCATTGGAACGCATTAAACTGGGTTTCAATGCATTCCAATGGGGAAAGGGTTTTTGCACGACGACGATTTCACTAAACAGCGATTTTCATGGGACGGATTATCATCGGCATGTGGGGCACCACTGTATTTTAATTTCCGTCTATACTTTTTGCATCTTGAATGATACCAATATTACTGATTTATATTGTTGTTTTTAATTGTTTTATGATATTCCTGTTGTAAGCTGCCCAGAGTAGATGTGGTCTAAATGGGCGGGATATACATTTAAACAAACAAATAAATAAATAAAATATGTGTTTTAAGATTTTATCTTGGATGAGGCTTTCCACCATCTACCCTGCAACAAACGTTAGGTTAACCGGCCTGCAGTTTCCCGGGTCCCCCCTCCTTCCCTTTTCCTTCAATTCAATGCCAGCATTTTTGTCTCAGCCATTAGTTTTGCCCCTGATCTCAGTTGGTGAACTGGAGGGTTCTTATGCAAAACAAAATACATTATTATTATTATTGCTTCAACTTTGGCACAAGCCTTTGCAGACCAGGTTTACGAAGGCTGCCCAGTTCAAGACAGAGCAGCCAGGTGGTCACTCTGCAGGAGGCGGCAGCTGAACTGGTGGCTGCGGAAGTGGATGGGCAGCGACTAGTGGCTGTCCTCAGAGCTGCTTAAGGCAATGCCTTCACAGCTGGGATGGGGCCAGGAATGTTTGGCTAGTGCAGGATTGCCCTTAGAAGCCTCCTTCCTGTACGTACAAGTAGTTTAGTTGTTTTTATAGAAAAACATATAATGAAAAATGTTATATGTGAATGTGACAAATACTTTTGCCAGGATGTGTAACACACAACACTCAGCAAGCCTTTAGATGGAAGGCAAAGATGTTTCTTATGAGAGAGCAGGGGTGTGGTAAGGTGGACTGCTTTTAGTACCTGGAAGAATCACGAGGCTGTAAAGGGACAATGGCAACCCTCCTCTCACTCCCTGTTTAGCTCCCAACCCCCTTCAGTACAGCAGCCCAAGACGACTGGCTCAGATCTCCATGAAATCCTATATCTTCTCTTCCTTGTTCTGCTTCCTCTACTTGCAGTTTAGTAGCATTCATGCAACATACACTGCAGAAACTACAGGCTGTGTGTCAAGGTGAAGGGTATGCAGCCTTGGAGATGATGCTGGACTATAAAAAAAATTCCCATTCTCTTCCTCATTAGCTATACTGACCGATGGGTGTTGCAGTCCAAACACATCCCTTGCTATATACAGCCTTTAAAACACCGTATCTTTCTCCTTTCTGTGATCCTGTATGTGGCAGCAGGGAGATGGAGAAACCAGGTGACTTTTTTGACTATGCCAAAAAGCAGTGTCAGATTGAGCATATGAGGCTATGTAGTTAAGGATTGTGGATTCAAAGCTCAGCTGAAGCTTGGAAATTATCACCTCTGCTCAACATGCCAGGGCTGCCAACTTGTTATCATATCTCACATAGGCAATTTTGACTCTGGCTGGATCTGCAGTCATTAGGATTCACAATGCTGTGAAAAAGTCTCCTTTTCTACACATGAAGACACATGATCCAGGAACAGGTCAACTGGCAACCTAAACCACGCAGGAGCCCATTCTGCATGACAGGCAGGAAGAGGCAAGGGGCGGGAGGGAGCTGCTGTTGCCAGTGTATCAAGTGACATAAGTAGGTTCTGCTTCTGCTTCCACCTCCACAAAACATGTTCTCAAGCACACAGTGTTGTGCATAAAAATCAATAGCACATGCAAAAATCTGCAAGATACAGACATGTGGCTTCTGGAGCTCTCAGCCAACATTGATTTCTCCCAGGGAGCCATCCAGAAATTAGAAGTGGAGAAAAACAATGTACAGTATAAGGTGGGTGTTAGTTCCTGAGAGGGAGAGAAGAGGGACTTATTCAGGACCTCATAAATATTTATACTTGGAGAATACGCCACCCATCCTTGGCATGTGTTATCAGTCACTGGTGTATGTGAGTTAGATTTTTGGAACTTTGTGTTTAATCATATCTTTCATATGTATAATTCTCAGACCTTGCCTTATTTTGAGCTGAGACACGCAATTTGTTATTTTTACTGGACACAATATTGGTGTGTGTGTCTTTTAACCTGTGACTGCCTAACGCAACATTGTGTGTGTTTGGTAGCCTTCATGTGGAGACAACTTATCACTCTTTCTCTGTGGCATCCCTGCCTCTGCTTCCAACCGGAGTCACTAGTGGAAGCCCTTTATGATCTGGAGAAAAGACCCAGAGGAGGAGGACTTCCAGGGGTTTGTACCTCAGCCATGAATGAGTCTTCTTGCAAGAGGTGAGCTGGGATACAACGCAGCTTCTCCAGAGTCTCCACCAGACCTGCGCACCCACGTAGTTTCTCCGAAGAGCCCAGGGCCAAACGGACTAATAGCAGTCCCACACGAAACAGCACTTTAACCCCTGTGAAAGACAAGGTGAAAGGAGGGTTTCAGAGCTGAAGTTTCACATGGAACTGCCTTGTATCAGGACAGTTTCCCTTCTGTTGATATCCTGATTTTAGGAGAGGCCCCAGGAAGAGGAATGTTTCATTAAACTGTGTACCTTCTGTAAAGCATGGGTGGTAATGGTTCACTACTGAGCAGTTAGATGCTTAATGGAAGCTACTTAATTGTCACTTTCCCAGCCACATAGAACAGGTCATTTAACATAATTACAGAGCACTCCTGCAGTGTTTGGATTAGAAAGCTAGTGTGGTGACTTTTTTCAATGTACCTACCAGCCCATCCTATATGCTCAGAGCAAGTGTCTTAAAAGAAGAGTGAGGGATAGGCACCCTTCTTGATATTGTTGGACTACAGCTCCCATCACCCCTCATTATTGGCTGTGCTGGCTCTGGCTGATGGGACTGACAATCTAACAAAATCTGGAGGACCACGTGCTGCCCAGTAGTAGGATTAGCCCTCCCCCTGCCCCATCCCTAAATCCTTCAATTCTTTTTTCCAATTTCTTCCTCACAGTCTTTCAGAAAGAGGAGACAGGAGACATTTTAACATAAAACTCCATCTGCAGAAACCACCTCTTAAAATAAAGATCTGTCTTCTTTATTCAACATGGCCTCTTCCCATCCTAACCCCCCACCCCCCGTGTTGCCAAAACTGGTGTGCTCTCAACCATCTCACGCTGCTGTTGCTCTTTCCTTGCCATGGCTGGCTGTGAGCTTCCGATGTGCTCCCTAAGCACGGGTTGCCCCTTACCTTCACTCAAGAAGGCATCCCAGACTCTGAGCGCTGTGGGGAAGGGCAGCGTGCGGACAAAGAGGCAAAGAAACCACTCCGGGAGGTAAAGCAATGGGCCCACTCCATGTTTCTGCAGGTGCTTCTGTGCTTTGGGGCATACACGGCGCAAGAGGGCAACAAACACTTCACTGTCCAGGAGAAGCCCCTCCTACAGGAGAAGGGAAGAAAGTGTCACTGCCTTTTGTATAGCAGCTACACAAAAGGCAGAAGGTTAACTGGCAAAGCTCCTTGTTTTTCCTGAAAGAAGAATGCAGCTGGTTAAAAATTCAGAAGAATTACTTCCCCTCCAAATGCAGCAGTTCTACTAATTCTTGAGCCACTTGCCCCTCAACTCATGGCCCTCTCCAGCCCACTCCACAGGTCAATCCTGTCCCTTCATTAACCTGGGTTGTCCCCTTCCTTTTATTATCTTTATAGCTCCCTTCAGATGATTAGCTTTGGGCAGGCTTCCCCAGCCTGCTGTCCTTGAGGTGCATTGGACTAAAACTCCCATCATTCCCAGATAGTACAGTCATTGGCAATGCTCTCTGTGGATGATAGGCACTGTATTTCAATGTGTCCGGAGGGCACTATGCTAGGAATGGATAGTGAAAAGGGTGGCCCCTAGCTCTGTCTTCACTGTGAAGTGTCTTTGACTCCTTGTAACAATTCTGGCAAAGCAGTGACCCTTCTCCCATCACAGCTGCCCACTGCCCTGTGCCTAGGGGAGAATTGCTCACCATCTTCGGACTGTAGTAGCCAGGCAGGTAATGTTCACAGATCTGCACCAGGCACCAGAAGGCTTGCTGGAATGGACAGGCAGAAACAGTCAGTAATGTTTGCAGGCAAACTGGGAGGGAGTTGGGCAACGGTGGATAGAGGAAGATGGAATGCAGACAATAGTACAATTTAGAGGGAAATCCACTGAATCGAAGGGAAGACTTAAGAGCAAGGATGCTGTTTTGGTAGCAGAAGGAACAGTGGTATCTGCAGAGGTGAAGGGAATTTGGAGGTCTGCACGAGACTCACCTCTGGGGGCATGTGCATGAGTAGCAAGGCAGCCAGTGGTCCTTGGGCCTGACAATAGCCCTCCTGGGGTAGATACACAGTGTAAGCCTTCAGCACCTGCAGGAGTCCTTGTTGCCTGTAAAAGAACAGAGGCTTACAGTGTGATCTGGAATACATATACGCATCCTCACTTTAGCTCCTCCAAACAAGATCTGACCCTTCACAGCAACCCGGCTCTTGCTCTTCTCTTTCCTTATATTCGACCGAGACACACTCTGCCCTCCATCTCACTTCAGTCACTGGCTTCCTCTGACATGTCCTCCTCCCCACACACCCTCTGACCAGGATGACCTTCAGGATAGTCTTTATTCCATATATTAATGAGCTTCCCCATACAAATATGGACCTGAATGCAGCTGGTTGTCCCTGCTGAAACACACCCATCTAATCAATGGGATTTACACACGTGTTGGCTCATCATTCAGCAAAGTATTCAGTGGGTCTACTCTGGCTGAGACTAGCAATTCAATGTAGTTCATGGAAGCAGCTGCTAGAGTACTGGGCATCTCAATATATGTCATTTAAAATTAGTTAACCCTCCATTGCAAGATGCTGTGCAGGGAGGAAGGCAGCTTGAGATGTTTTTGTCTGTATTGAAGACAAACACATGCAGCTTTTGGAGACTCTTCAGTTTCAAACTTGGTGATGTCTGCTCTGCAGAACAACGTGAATTTACTGTTATGGCTACTATTCTTTTGTTTCTATGGCCATCTATTATCAAACTTCATTGCCATTCTTTTCTCCACCCCAACCCATCTGTATCCTTCCTGGCTCTATCCTTGCTAGACTGTTCCGAACAGTGTCAAAAGCTAAAGCTTGAAACAAGAACCAATTATCCAAAGGAAATCAATGCATGTAGATACCATTTACATAACACAACAGGCAGACATAATTTGGGTGATGGATTTGCAGGGATGTTGGCAAGTCTTTGGTTCTGAGTCTGAATCTTTGGTACCAATTCTCAAGTCCCTATTCAAATCAAGCATCCCCCCCTCCAGAAAAAAAGAGAGTGGGTAGGTGGGTTATGAATCATGAACCAAGTCTGAGTTGTTGGGGAAAAACAACCCTGAATCGAGTCACTGATGCAATTTAAGTCCAACTTGACAGGGAGACCCCTGACTTGCGTCTCGATCCCTGCTGATCTTTTTTTTGGGGGGGCACCAGGATGTGTACACTTTTCTGAATGGGATTCTACAAGCTGTTGTACCTGGTGTTTGCCAAGTTCTTGGTGTGTATTGGGCAGTTGGGAAAAATGTTCCAGATGATGTCTGATTTTACATTTATTTCAATATTCTGCCTGATTTTCACCTTCTTAGGTTCCTAGGCCACCAACATGATATAAAAATCTCATCTTGTACAATTTGTACAGTTCTACATCTGTCTATTGTGAAGTGAAACCTGTGAGCCAGAATCCTGTTGGGGGGGGAAGCGCATGTGCAAGAAAAATTAATCATGCAAGCCATTGCTCCCCTTTGGAAGGGTAGCCATCATATGACTGTAGCACACTTGTAGTGAAATCAGATGTGAAAGGACAAATCACTTGCATGGTGACTCCTTTGCACATCATTTATTACAACACGATTCTGACTGCAGAGCTCAAATGGGCTTACTCCTTAGTATGTGGGTACAGGATGGTACTCAGTACAGGCCTGTTAAAAAAGCAAAGGGAAAAAACTATTTTGAACACCTTAATAAACTATTTTATCTGTATCTCTACTGGCAGGAATAAAACTATGGTAAGGAAGCTCAAAGATGAAGCCTCATGTCTCCCTCTAGAGGAAAGGAAGCAAAGAAGAGACTCTGGATAGCCTTACATTATAGTTTCACACACCACCTACTCTCTACTGACTCAGCCCGCGCTTGACAGAAAGCTGGTTTTGCATCTATTTCAGAATAGGTTTGGGGCCTTTCCAATTATAACTGCCCCCTCCCTTTCTTCAAATGTGTGTGCGTGGGGGGGGGTCACAAAGGTTTCCAGAAGCAGGTGCCGGAAACCATACGAGCTTTGCTTATGATGTACAGTCACGGTGCCCTTTCAGCGCAATCCACTCCCTCCACCTGCTGCTTATGCCAGAATCCCCATTAAGACTATCAGGATAACCTTGCTGTAGGATCAGGTTGATCTACTCCAGCCTTTTCCTCTCGGATGATCCAGACACCTCTAGAAATTTATAGAAGGGCCACTGCTTCCCTTCATTAATTTTGATAGGATAAAAGAGTATCTTTTCCTGTAAGATTTAAAAAGTCCTGAGCGGCGTATGTGAGACTAAGGGTGCAATTAGATACCGTATAGGATTGTATTGGGTCATACTGGAAAGGATTGCTTTTCTGGGAGGGATCTTCCTTGAAATTACTCTTCTGTGGAAAGAGAAATCACTCCAATCCCCCTCAAAAAAGGGGGACCAAAAAAGTCTGGATTGGGCATGGAGCAGGGCTGAGCTGGACTGCTATGGCCCATACATTGTGTGATTGCTGGGAAACAGCTCACCCCATACCATGTCTCAAACAATCCAAAATATGAGCTCTATCGCTCTCTGATTGCACCCGTAGTCTAGGGAAAGCCATTCTTAAACTCCCATAGAGTCACATAGCTCTTTAGGTAACCTTGCTTTGTTGGGTTGTTGGAAAGAAAAGATAGAAAAACAACCTTCTTTGCTGCCTTGAGCATCTCAGAAGAAAGACAGAATACGCATACAAAAAAAACAACAACCCAATTTCAAACAGATAGAGTCACTGCTTTATCTGTGATGGGGCTTGTGTAATTTGTAAACTGTCACTGAAGTCTTCCCATCTGTAAGCTAATCGGAGGGATATGGCTTTGCCGCAGCTTGCTTCACAGCCTGTTTGATGCTTCAGTTCAGATTAGGTGATCACACGGAGACCTGTATTCTTTCAGTGCCAGGATGCACATGGCTTCCTCAATCCAATGTGGTTTGATCCGCACCACAGCTCACAGGGCCCCACCTTCCTTTACTCCTGTTTTTTTTTGCCAATCTCTGGCTTTCCTTTTATCAGTCACTGTAAAGCCAATGGGCTGTTTAAAGTGTTGCACAGCAACAGGAAAAAGGGACAGTTTTCCAACGTTCTCCATAACATACAAACACATATACACATACTGCGGAAACATAGTAGTCTGCTGTGCAGTAGCTTGCTGGAGATCCTTCTGTTTCACATTGATCTCTCTCGCTCTCAAAATATCACATGACCCCCCGCCCCCCCCCCCGCCATTTCCTGGTTTCTCTTTCCCTATATCTCCCCAAACCTGCCCCTACTGGAAGTTCAGGACTGCAGTGCTAGGACACTGGGAGCCAGAGCTGGGCAGAAGGCTGCCCCCCCCCGGGTCATCCCACGCCTTCTTGTAGACTTTTCAGAAATAAATCTGCTTCTTATGCTCTCATCTCTCTCTCACTCACCCAGGTCCCTCAGGTGAAAAGAACATCTCATGCAAAGGAAACTGGCGGTGAATGTCCTTTGTAATAGTCTCCACCCACTGTGGATCACCCGACGTATTATACAGTTCCTGCAACAAGAACATAAACGTTAGCAAAACATGTTCAGGATGCTCGATGCAGAAGGGGAAATCAGGACACGTTGCTCATTCCTTCTTTCTCCCATACAAACGCATATTAGAGCAGGGGCCACCATTCTGACCCCATGTGTTCCTTATTTCAAAAGCTAGCTTTAAGGGATCCATTTTGCTCTCTGGCAGGAACTATCTTTCCCCATCTTGGCCTGATACTTCAGGGGAGACTCTCTCTCTGTGTGTGTGTGTGTGTTTGACTGTGGATTAACTGACTGTCTTTAGTTTCATCCATGGCCTCTATAGCTTGCCCACCTGCAAATGAAAACCTTGGCAGAAAAAAAAGAGAAGGGATGCCCGATATTTGAAACTTTTGTAACTTAAGAACTCTTTCCAGTAGAAAACATGCATGGCCACATCTTTGTTTGCTTTTAAATATAACTTTACCCCAAAAATTGTTTATATTTTGCTGAAAATGGACTAAGCTCTTAGAACACTGTTGTTTTTAATGTTGGCATTTTAATTTTAATTATGTCAATTGAGTACAGTTTTATGAATCTTTTAGATTAAAACTTACACTGTTTTAATGTCTGCAAGCTATCTCGGAAGCATTTTGCCTACAATGCCAGCACAAAATGTCTTAAATAATTAGTAGATACAAAAGGATACATAAAAACAAAGCTTAGCTTTTCTATTGCTCAATGCAAAACACAGGTTTAATATTCTAATCTTCTGCACATTTACTTAGAAGTAAGTTCTATTCTAGTAAACAAGACTTAGTATTTCCATGTAGGTGTCCTCAAGACTGTGTTGATCAATATTCTCCTATTATTAGAAGAACTACAGTATTCTTATTTGGGTTGCTATCTTTAAGAGGCATACAACTTATGATAATGCAAAATATTCAAATCCACAGCTTCAAGGAAACGCCAGCCTGGAAGAATATGGAGATGAACTATGAAATAAATGGTGAAATTAAAGTAGACCTTAATTTTTAATAAAGAGGAGAAATGGGCAAGGAGAAAGCCAAGGGCAGAAGCTGAAGCAAACGAAGAGCAGGAATGTGTGAGTGTAAAATTATAAGCGAGGTGGCCTTACTTGGTACTTTCCTGGGTTCTTCTCCATTCTGGCATGTCCTCCACACAACAGAGGCCAACAGCGGGCACGTACAGATGAAGGGATCCCTTTCCGGCACAGCAGTTTTACCTGAAGACACAGCCTCATCACCAAAACAATGATCTTGCCAAGAGCCTTCCTATCAAATGTACTCCACTACACTCACAATTCAGAGTCAGCAAAAAATACATGATATCCAGGGAGACAATATTCAGTTCATTCTCTGTGGGGCTAAATTCTCCTAAAATCCTCAGGTTCATTATGAGGGTGATTAAGTAATATGGCTTTAACTTTTTAAATAATGGCTTTAGTAAACATCCAAGTGACATTTGGCGCTTGGAAAGTCTTCCACTGACCGAGGTTGGTAGGTCAATCGTCTGCCTTTCTTGGCAGAGACAATTTGGATAGGCTTCCCAGCTGACCTCCAGATGAGACTACACTGGTGTGTTCAGTGTGGGGCTCCCTTTCAAGACTTACTGGAAACTGTGGTTCTATAAAATATAACAGTTAGGCTGCTACCTACGACCAGCTGAAGAGAACATCTTTCACTGGTGCTTAAGCAACTACATTGGCTCCCATTCCATTTCTGGATATAGTTCCAAAGTCCTGGTATTAGCCTTGAAAGCACGAGTTTAGGACTTGGGCATTTGTACTTTCCAGACATTTATATTTATTTCATGTATACTTTGCCCTTGTTCTGGTTCCAGGGACAGCTTAGAAAAAATTAAAATGACAATAAAGCAAACGAAAACAGTCTCATACCACAGTAGGAAAGGGCAGTAGAAAAGCAATCAATACCATGCAAAATAAGCACCAAGCAACATGATAAACACACTGCACAGAGAAATAAGATTGGTTTTAAGTTGTGTTTTAAAATTTTTATGCTTTTATTCAATTTATATTTTGTCTGTATTTGTTCCATGTTACTGTACGCCAACATGGGTCCTAATTCATGAGAGAAAAGTGAGATACAAATAGAATGAACAAACATAAATTAACACATAAATAAACAGACTGTAAATATATGGACAGGCTTAGAAGATGAAAAATGGTTTTGCCTGGTGTTGAAGAGGACAACTGTGCAAAAACTTCCCACCTACTGAATGTCATTTTAGGTGGTTCCCTTCGTGGGGTCCCAAACATCTGGACTAAGGTTGGTGAGAATAGGGAGAGGGCCTTCTCAGGGTTGACACCCCTTTACCTTGGGAAACTTGCCTGGGAGATTTCCTGGGAGGAATGCTTATCACAATACTAATAAAGTTTTTCAGGTGGGTGTGATGTTCAAATAGTGGTTTATCATTGCTGCCTTCCCTCCCCAGTGAGTTTCTGCAGCTGAGTGGGATCCACTCCACTCCACTGAATCTCTTTCCCTTTAATCTGATCAGGTTTTTTGTTGACTAGTATCCTCTGCGTTCAGTCTATTGTGTTCTTTGTTGTCTATTGTTACATGATTTTATTCTTTCCATTGTCTATTGTGTTTGCAATGTGTGACCTGCCCTATAAACAGTGTTACAGACAGGTGGGAGGAAACTTCCCAAGGAAAGAAAGAGTAAACCACAGTTTCCCTGAATGTATCACAAAAAATAACTGCTATGTCATGTATGCAACACCTGAATTGCCTGAGTTGTGACTTGTGTAAGTATGTGGGGGGGATGAATAAGAGAGAGAAAAGCTCCTTGTAAAATTTATTTTGGGAATGTAGCAGGACTCATAACTAAAGACGGGTCAAAACTGTAGAGCAGAAACACCAACGAAGGCAATATTAATATTCTCTGATTCCCTCCTACCTTTCTGTAGCGCCGGGCCATGGTTTTCTCCCAATGAGCTGTCATCTCCAGCCACTTGGTCTCGCGGTGCCGGATAAGCTCAACAGACAGCTGAACTTGGCTGCATTTGGAGAAGACAAAAAGAAAGCTGAGAACATCTCCCTGAGAAAACGTCTGGAGAGTGCAGGGCTTTCCATGGCCTCTCCTCTCATACTTTGATTGCTTTCTTACAACATTTTATCACCTCTATTCATAACTTTAAAAGTAACAAGTAGCAACATTACATCTAATGCATTGCTTTTTAGATAACGATGTTATGAATTCTAATGCAAACCTGGTGTTTGCAGGCTTAGGCCTTGGCCTGTGTAGCAGCTGCTGGGCCACTCATGAGGCTCACCTGGAAACCTGGTTCTATTTAAGAAGTGGTTCCCCCTCCCATAACTTGCCTCAGCAACAAAGGCTTTTGGCTGTGTTTACTGCCTTGCTGCTTCTAGAGCTCTGAACTCCCTGTGTTCCAGTATTCCTACATCTCTGCGTCTTGACTCCAGTGTTCCTAAACCTGCTTCTGTCCCTGTCCCTGTCCCTGCCCCTGCCCCTGCCTTGGCCCCTGCTCTTGCCCTCCTGTATCTCAGCACCTGGTTCTGGCTCTGTGCACCCAGCCCTGTGCTCCCACCACTGCTTGGTCACAACCAACTGTGGAATGAGTGCCTTTGGACCTGATACTCTGTGTGGTGGATTGGGTCCTGGTGCCTTTGCCCTTGGTGAGAGGCTGTCTGAGATATCTTGGACAGTGATAGCACTGATCATCACAATAGCATAAAGCTTGCCTTTTAACACTTGACCCATAACATTAATCAGAAGGTGTCCATTTGCAACTTCAACATTCATGGATGTACTTAATCCTTACCTTGACTATACATTCCCTGCCACCCAGTCCTTTCCCTAGCCCTCTCCCTTCCCTTCTAATACAAAACTACCTCTCCCCCTAGTTTTTTCTCACTGGCATTCCCTGCCACCCAGTCCTTTCCCTAGCTCTCTCCCTTCTCCTTTAATAGAGAACTACCTCTCCTCCTAGTTTTTTCTCACTGGTAGTCTAACCGACACTTAGACTACGAATAAGCCCAGCAGAGTGGTGCGAAGAACCTGGTAAGAATTGCAGTGGGGAAGCAGATCCATAACAAGCACTTCTGGTAGCCAGGGCAAACGGCAGTGTCTCTCACCTACTTTGCCCTGAGGCACTGATGTGAGCCCTCACCAAGAAACAGGAAGACCACATGGTACCTCCTAAAGAAAGAATATTTGTGCTTTCAAGAACATTGTTGTTGTTGTTGTTTAGTTGTTAAGTCGTGTCCGACTCTTCGTGACCCCATGGAGCAGAGCAAGCCAGGCCTTCCTGTCTTCCACTGCCTTCCGGAGCTGGGTCAAATTCATGTTGGTTGCTTCAGTGACACTGTCCAACCATCTCATCCTCAGTCGTCCCCTTCTTCTCTTGCCTTCACATTTTCCCAATATCAGGGTCTTTTCCATGGAGTCTTCTCTTTTCTCATGAGATGGCCAAAGTATTGGAGCCTCAGCTTTACTGTCTGTCCTTCCAGTGAGCACTCAGGGTTGATTTCCTTCAGGATGGATACGTTTGTTCTCCTTGCCGTCCAGGGGACTCTCAAGAGCCTCCTCTAGCACCACAATTCAAAAGCATAAATTCTTCAGTGGTCAGCCTTCTTTATGGTCCAGCAATGCTGTCATCACTAAAAGTCAACACGGGTTTCTCAAAAACAAGTCATGCCAGACTAATCTGATCTCTTTTTTTGTTAGAGTTATAGGCTTGATAGATGAAGGGAACGCTGTGGATGTAGCATATCTTGATTTCAGTAAAGCCTTTGATAAATTTCCCCATGATACTCTTGCAAGGAAGCTAGTAAAAAGCTTCTCTTCATCCTGGACAAGGATGAAGAGAAACTAGTGGGGTGCCTCAGGGTTCTGTTCTGGGCCCTGTGCTATTCAACACCTTTATCAATGACTTGGATGAAGGAATAGATTAAATTAAATGCTGATTAAATTTGCAGATGATACCAAATTGGGAGGGGTTGCTGATTCTCCAGAGGACAGGATTAAAATTCAAAATGACCTTGACAGATTAGAGTCCTGGGCCAAAACTAACAAAATGAATTTCAAGAGGGAGAAATATAACATCCTACACCTAGGCAGAAAAGATGAACTGCACAGATATAGGATGGAAGACACCTGGCTAGACAACAGTACCGGTGAAAGAGGTCTAGGAGTCTTGAAACTGAACATGAGTCAGGAGTGTGATGCGACTGTCAAGAAAGCCAATGCAATTCTTGGTTGCATCAATAGAAGTATAGTGTCTAGATCAAGGGAAGTGATAGTACCATTCTATTCTGTTTTGGTCAGACCCCACCTGGAGTACCAGTTCCGGACACCTCAATTCAAGAAGGATGTTGACAACCTGGAATGTGTCCAGAAGAGGGCGACCAAAATGGTCAAAGGTCTGGAAGCCATGTCCTGTGAGGAGCAGCTTAGGGAGCTGGGAATGTTTAGCCTTACAAAAAGAAGGTCAAGAGGGAACATGATAGCCATGTTTAGATATTTGGAGGGATGTCATGTCGAGGAAGGGACAGGGTTGTTTTCCACAGCTACAGACACTAGGACAAAGAGCAATGGTTTCAAACTACAGGAAAAGAGATTCCACTTGAATCTCAGGAAGAACTTCCTGACAGACAGAGCTGGTCGGCAGTGGAATAGGCTGCCTCAGACTGTGGTGGAGTCTCCTTTTTTTGGAGGTTTTTAAGCAGAGGCTGGATGGCCATCTGTCGGGAGTGCTTTGATGGAGTTCCTGCATGGCAGGGGGTTGGACTTGATGGCCCCTGCGGTCTCTTCCAACTCTGGGGTTCTGTGATTCTATGAAATATGAAAAACAAAACAATGGTCCATGAACAATGGTTATTTGTTCATGATGTACACAGAACATATCAGGTGGAAAGCCAGATTAGATTCAGATGAAGGAGGAAGGAAAATGAGCAGAAAAACATCAGTAATTTATGATATGCAGATGATACCATCTTACTGGCAGAAAACAGCAATGACTTGACTTTTAGTGAAAGAGGAAAGTACCAAAAAAGGACTACAGTTGGACATCAAGAAGACCAAAATCATGACTACAGAACTAAACAACTTTAATGTCAAAAATGAAGAAATTGAAAGTTAAAGATTTTGTTCAATATTAAATAATAATCACAAGGACATAATAACAGTGCAGAAAATCAAATGAGCATATCAATCAAGTCAAACTAAAAAGAAAGATGGCACAAAAAATTAATAAAAACTTGGTGGCAGAATTGATAACAGCAAAATCAAATGAGCATATCAATCAAGTCAAAACAGAAAGAAAGATAGCACAAAATTGATAACAGCAGAAGGAACCTTTGCACTCTGTTGATGTAATATCTTGAAATGCCTGTCTAAGCAGCCATGTTTTCAGTGATCTCTTAAAACTCTCCAATGAAGGGGCCAGATGAAGTTTGGGTAGGAGTTTATTCCAAAGGTGGGGGGGGGCAACCACGGAGAAGGCCCAGTTCCTGGTCTTCTCTTTCAAGGATTCTGTTGGTGGTCAATGACCTCAACCACCCAGCTTGAGATGATTTGAGTAGGTTGGGCAGATCTCAGTGGAAGAAGGCATTCTGCCAGGTATCAAGGTCCCAAACCATTTAGGGCCTTATATGTCAGCATCATCAGCTTAAAGCTGGCACAGAAATGGACAAGCAGCCAGTGCAAGACGGCCAGAATAGGGGATATAGGGTGCTCTTTATTTATTCCACACCTCTGGACATCATATTCTGAACCTGTTGAAGTTTCTGTAGCAGCTTCACGGACAGCCCCATGTAAAGAGCATTATAGTAGTCTAATCTCAAGACCACCAACTCATGGAATGGCATGGTGAGGGACCTGGTGTAAAGGCAGGGGCACAACTGGGTAATCTGCCTCAGGTGGAAAAAGGCAGAACAGACCACAGACACTACCTGAGACTCCATTGACAGTGCTGTGTCTAAAAATACACCCAAACTGTGAACCTCATCCTTAGCAGATAGAGTAGCCCCCCAAAAAGAGAGGGAGGCCCCCAAGCTACAGACACTGGGACACCCACCCGCAGAACTTCTTGTCTGGGTTCAGCCTCAGACTGTTGTCTCGCATCCATCCCAACATGGTGTCAAGGCAGCACTGAAGGGACGAGACTGCACCCACTGTAGAAGGATGGAAGGAGAAATGCAGCTGGATGTAATCTGCCAGGTATTGTTGACACGAAGCTCCAAAACACCTGATGACCTCCCCCAGCGGCCTCATATAGATATTAAACAGCAACAGGGAGATGAAATACGGTGCTGGGGGAGAGCTTTGCAGATACCCCAGAATGCCAGAAAGACCAAAAAAAAAAAATCAGCCCTAGAAGCTTGAACCATCTCTGAAGGCAACACAATGAAACTGAGGCTGTCATATTTTGCATATTCTGGAAAAGACAATAATGCTGGAAAAGGCTGAAGGCAGCAAGAAAAGTGGAAGACCAGATACAAGATGTATTGACTTTCTAAAGGAAGTCACAGGCTTGAATTTGCAACAGCTGAAGAATTTGCAAGAGCTGAACAGGGCTGTTGATAACAAGACATTTTGGAGATCACTCATTTGCAGGGTCATAAGTTGGAGGCGATTTGATGGTACATTATAACAACAAATTATGGTGTCCTGGTGCAAAGTCCTAGTTGCCCTGACCAAGTTACAGCCTGTGGGGAAGGATTTAGCATATTTTCCTACCTGATTCTCTCCTGCAAATTCCGTTCTGCTCCTGCTTTATCATTAAACAGCCATGTGCTGAAGACCAATGGGATGGGATATAGTCAACTTTCTTTCTCAGAATTGGTGAAAAGATTCCCACTCTACCTATTTGAGGAACTGTGTATATGTTTACATATCATCATATATGCTCACAAAGTGCCAAATGTGATCCTCAGGGCTACATACTTTGCCCAGCCTTATTTTAGCCACTTGCATGGAAATGGGATTTAGATCTGAGTAGATATGCATTATAGGGGATTGGAATGCTAAAGTAGG